GGGGGGGGGGGCATTACCAGAAGGAAAAGTACAAAATTGTGCCTTCCTGCCCGCCTTTAACGGAACAATAAATTTGAGAGAGGGGCTGGACCCGTAACCCCCGAGTTAAGAGAATGAATGTCTCTCCATTCTTACTACTTCAACCTATTCCCCTACTTACATTGTATTATAAGCGCACCAACACCACCACAACCCTTGTTTTGATCCTCATCGAGATAAGACGCCGCATATCATTGCAGGTTGTTGTCGATGTCCTAAGTGCTTGTCATTTGATATGAGATTGTTGCATGAGTAGCAAGTTGTGCTGACTTTGAACAAACAGGATCATTTATCCATCTACTTGCTGTTGAAATTAGACCCCCCCCCAAAAAGTACCAGCTCAGCTACCACCTCTACACTGGTGACACAGATAAAACAGGTTTTTTTTATTTATGCGATACCGATGAATGTGTAGAAATAGAAGAGAAATGCATTGAGAAAAGGAAGAAATGGATGTGTGAAAAAAATCAAAACTCAATTATGAAAGAAAAAGAAACCATCCATTTGGAGGTTTAAAAAAATCTTGAAGAGAGTAATAGAAGCCATTTAGAATTCGAAGATAAAAGTACATCATTTTCCAGCATAGCCAAGAACCTTGGTATCTTTTCACATTCTGATATCTTCATGAACAAACAAGTTAACCATGCCATTCGACGTAAGTACCTTGATCTCAGAGGAATCTGTAAGAATAGACCCCTTATTTTAACCTACTCATATTCCAGGCATGCTCTCTATCTCTCTCAACTTGATAAAACTTGACTATCTAAATTTTGCCTTGTCTGGTCATGATATATCATGTCAGAAAATGAAGAAATTGCAGGTGGCCCATAATAACATAACACGGCATGATACATGTTGAAGAGAAAGTAGAAAGACCTTGTCTCAGACATTTTAAAAGCTCTGCAATGGTGTCTGGAAAAACATCCGTTGTAATGTTTCTACCATCTGTTGAAAATGCCTTAACATTAATGCTTCATTCAGGCTTTTAATGCCGTATGTTATATCCTGTCAGGTAAGGTCTCCCAAGAGTCGCATCGAACTTCTAAGTCCCTAGAATGAAATTACGATCTGTGGTGAGAGAAGTTTTTCGTATTTTGGTCTTAAAATTTGGAACTCCTCGCCCTAAAACCATAGGGAAATAAGAAACCATACGTACAGACCAAGCGATTGTTTTAGACTCATTTATTTATATCTTATTTGAAGTCGGTTAACACGTCTGGGGGTGAAGAAGTCCTTTCGTGCTAGTAATACATGTACTAAGTAATCTAAAAAGTAGGTCAAGTTATGAAAATTACATTTTGATCCTTCAAGTCGTGTTCACAGTACCCACGTTAAAACATAGAAGATTGGCATTTTCCCCTGACCCCGTGGCGTATTTTATTTATCCTTTGTTTTTTGTTGTTGAAGTGTAGGTCTGTGCTAACAAAAAGCTGCAACAAAAAAGATTATTGTATTGACTCAATATCAGAGAAATCGAGCCTCAAGCGTACTCAGCGCTATATGAAAACGTTTTGTCCGTCGACCTGCTGTTACTGAACAGCAAAAACATAACTGCGGAGCATGCCAAAGGCTCAATTTGGCGTATCATCATCATCATCATCATCATCATCATCATCATCATCATCATCATCATCATCATCATCATCATCATCATCATCATCATCATCATCAACTCCTCTACCGTAGTCATGTTCATCATCAATGTCGTTTCAGCACATTTGCCATCATTGCGACC